AAGTGGCCACGCCCTTAATTATGCAGAACTTTAAGGCTTAATATAATTTAAACGGATGAGTTATAAAAAAAATTCACCCACCTCACAGTTGTCATGAAGGGCAAAATTAGCTATATAGACCAAAATAATTGTTTGAACCAGGCTGTAAACATCTGTAAAGTTGGGCAATTTAACATGGGGAGTCTATGGGATTGACTCCCTTTTGCAGCCAGCCTGTAGCGGCCAGGTGACGAATTACAGTTTAAGTCACTTCCGTGCTGGCTTCACGAGAGAGAGCGGGAGGTTGCCGCTTGGATGTGCTGATGCGATTTCTCCACTCTGTGATTATTTGTCTTGTTTTTGATAAGACTCTCTCTGAGGGGACCGATGTTGCAACAATGCAGTGTCTTCCTACCTTATCACTACACTCGCTATCTTCGGAGCGTGTGTCCCACTTCCTTCTTTCACATAATGGTATGATCCTAGTCTAGTGTATTTTTTTTTTGTAACGAAAAAATGCATAAAAATAAGGCTTTTATGAAAACACTAAATAAAAAATTGCTTACCAACACACAAACCATTCACAATTGCTAAATTGGCCTAAAATAGAAGGCTCTGGCTGAAGATTCGGCTCTCTCTGACGGGAGTCAGCTCTTCTCGTTCGCTACAAAGAATCGGCTCTTAGAGCCGGCTCGTTCGCGAACGACACATCACTAGCAGAAGTATAAATGAAAACTGACACATAGCCTACAGCGTAAAGGCTACGGCGTAGGTCCGACGCAGAAGTATAAATCAGCATTTTCTCTGCAAGCTTGTGAAAAAACGAGCTGCTCAGATTTCGCTCCCCTGTGATGTAGAAAGGGGATCTTATTATAATATTACCACCTCTTAATTTGCAAGTTTCCACCATGGCGCCACCATTGTGTTTTCACAAGCAACAATGGTGTACCAATTCTAACACCATGGCGAAAGTTCGAGCAAAGCATGTTAACTGTTCTGTCTTTGGCTGCACTGATGAGCACAGAACACTATTTAGAGTCCCAGCGAGAGCAGCAAATTTATTGATTTATTTACTGTATATTACACTGCTGAGTTTTTAACATAAACTTGTGTGTGTTTCTGACACACATTTTGAACTAATATGGTTTAAAACACATGATTTCAGCGTGAAACACGCACGAAAACAGCGTGTTTCTGCTTCCACTCAAAATGGGCATTTTCAAAATGATAATTATAAATGGTCTGTGGGGTATTTTGAGCTGAAACTTTACAGACACATTCTGGGGACAACTGAGACTTATATTACATATATTGTAAAAAGGGGCATAGTAGGTCTCCTTTAATGTTAAAAGGTGATTGAAAGAATTTCAGTTGAATTCATGTTGAAAATGTTTAATGTAAAAAGGTTAAAAAAAAAAAAAAAAACATAAATGGATGCCCTACAATGAATATCTACATTGATTCAATTTGCAAAATTAAAACAAATTCAACAGTGATTCAACCTTGATACACCTATTCAAAAATGTTGAAATGTCGGCTGGGTACTCTTTAAATCAGAGGGCAGTGTTTGGTTGATAAGAATGCTGTTCTAAGAAACAACAAAGGCTGATTCATGTCCAACTTGCGTAAGCTGGTAGCCTAAGGGTGGAAGAGTTGAGAGAAATAAAAGATATCGTTGCATCACATCACGTTGTCGTGATATTTTGAGTTTTCCTTACAGAACCTTTCTTTCTGTAAGTTGCTTTGGGTAAAGACTGTCAAAAAAAAAAATCAAGCAGCTTTGCTGTTGACGTAAAACCACCTATATTTATTTTCATTCTCCTTCATGGAGAAAATAAACTGTCACTTGATCTGTAGAAATAGGTTAACCTACTTATGTAGATTACTGTTACAATCATAGAAATGTAATACATTTGATTTTGCCACTAAAGATCACTAGAACAATCTGTAACTTCCATAACAGTTCAAATGCCCCGAACAGTCCTTCATATGCTTCAAAACTTGACATTTGCAATTCCTGTGTTTGTCACTGAGAATGGTGTGAAAGCTTTGTGGACTTACTTTTGATTGTATCTTCAATTCTAGCCCCCAACCGTCCTCCAGGTAACGTCTCATGGAAGATTGTTGGTTCTTGGGTTACTGTGAGGTGGGATCATGTTAAATCCATGGACAACGAGTCTGCCGTTCTGGGTTACAAAGTGAGTGACACACTGCCACCCAACACTATGGCTATCTTTTAAGATGTGTGTTTGTGTTGGGTTATCTGTCTCCATCTGTATGTCATCAGAATATTTGCTCAGATTCAGTCATTTCAGTCAAAGGCTCCTGTCGTATCATTTCATAGCTCTGAGGTAAGAATTTAATAAATGAGCAGCCTAATGTCACGTGAGAAGAGAACATTTGTTGTCCCTTATGGAAAAGCAGACCAACAACCCTATTGAGCTCGTTAGCAGTGAAAAAACATTTTAACCAGTTGTGTAAATCTCATATCTGATCTGCTATAGGATTAAGGTCATTTTTGACAAGATGGTGTGTATTATATAACAAATCTTAACTGCTTGATTGCTTGTATTGTCAAAAAATTTTAAGTATATTTTCGTACAGTGCAAAAACTGCTTAATGCGAATATATGCCATGAAGATATTAAAGGGGTCATATGATGCTGCTAAAAAGAACGTTATTAATTTTCCCACATAGTGAGGTAGATATGTGGGGGCGTGTTAGAACGTGCCGTTTTAGGTAGGTGTGGCTGACTCTTAACTTTTATAAAGAATATCTCTTTGGATTTGAGACTTTAGTCTTTGCAACTTTACAGATCTTCTTTATGCACCAAGAGCTTGTAACACTCCAAAGAGAAAGGAAAAATTGAAATCGCATCATATGACCCCTTTAAGATTTTATAAACATCAACATCATGATTTTCTGTAAATCTGCTTTGAAACTTTGTATTGTGAAAGGTGCTATACAAATACAATTGACTTGAAATGCTACACATCTTGAGAATTCACAAAACATAATTTTTAACATAAACTGATTCTCTATTATTTGTGTAGGTCCTTTACAAGCATGAAGGGCAGTCATCCTTGAAGATACTGGAGAAAAGCAAGCACTCCATCACTCTGCCGTTACCCAAGGACAATGGTTATGTGGTTCTGGAAATCCGCTCGTGGGGAGATGGAGGAGACGGAGCAGCCCATGAGGAAATAGTGTCTCAAGATTCAGGTATGTGATACTAAAAGTAGCTAGGAGTACTGGTTTTAGTAAACTAACTTAAGAACTAGTGTTTAAGTTCTAAATGATGTCTCTGAAAGTCTGTGTGTTTGATCCACAGGCACTGGAATGATGGTCCAGAACAGTTCTGGCACTTCTGGGTCCCTCTGCACATCTGTTCTGTTGTTCACTGCACTCGTTCTCACTGGTTCGTCTGGACTGTGATGTTAGCCAGTGATGAGTCATTTCTTATTAATATCAAAGAGAATTGAGCAGGTTTTCCTCAGCAGGGGCAGGACTGTGGGTTGGGGGGGTTTTGATGAGGGACGTTGGAATGGATGCGTGAGGTGTAAAGTTTTAGAAGTGTGAGGAGTGGAAGGTTCTTTTGTATAAAAAGGCTTTTTTACAAGGATGACTGGACAGAGTCGTTGTGGGAGACTTTTTTGATTGTTATCATTTTAGACGCTTGCCTTAGACGCTCGGAAACTCAAAATTGAGCGGTGATCATGTCAGCATTTGGTTGTAGTTTCTAAAATTCAACAACAGCTCTGACTTGTTGATTTCGTCACAGGTGTAAATACACATGGATGTATTGGTGACATTTCCATAATGGATGAAACAAACACTTTTTTTAAAACTTTGTTGCTACTTCATGGCAGCATGTGGACTGCAAAATGATCCAAATGAATGTTTACCTTTTTTATTTGATCTTTATTTTTTTGTGTGTCAATGTAATTAGAAGCAAGAGTGGATCAGGATTTTTATTAACAGGGTTTTGTATGTTTTGAATGATTGTAGCATTCTGCCTCCCTCAGTGTTCTAGTTTTTAAAGATGAAAGGTCTCACAAAAGCAATGGTACAACAGAACCCGATTCTCGTGTGGTTGTTAAAGTGGGCTTGGCTTGCCAAAGTTATCACTCTGTTATCTCATTGTTATTGCTTTGTCTTTTTCCTTGAGGATTACATAAAATTGACGTCCATGGGTTGTTAATTTCTTTCATGGCACACTGCAAGAGCGAGACACTGAACATTGAACAATGCTGAAGATAACATTCATGGACAAACAAGTTAATTATTATCCTATAATATTATTATATTATTCTCCTATAATATAATTTATTATAAGTTATTGTTTTATTACAAGAACTGGTCTTGTATGGCTCAATCTTTGGAGGCTCTCCATAATGGTGGACACGTTACCATACTTTAAGTGTTAAAGTATTAAGAATTAGGAGACATGTGTTTTGGTAGGCTAACATTAGATTGTGAGCAGGATTGCCAGATTTTCACAACAAAACCCACCCAATTGCTACTCAAAACTAGCTCAATAGCGCTTTGAGGGGGGTCCCCTGTTAAAAATTGCATTCCGGGAGGTAAAATACACATTTTTTGGGGAGGTTTCCCTGGTAAGATTCACATTGCAGGGGCTAAATATCACGTTATTGGGGTCGCTTTAACCTGCTGACATGAAAAACAATCTGTGGCAACACTGTTAAAGTAGCCCAATTCCGCGGGAAAACCGCATACTTGGCAACAGTGATTGTGATGGTCTTAGTGACGATTCTGGGGCTCTTGGGTCACTCTGCCTGTTTGGAGGCCCCTAACAGGTCCCAGGACACTTGTCCAGTCCAAAATCCAGCTCAACCTAAACCTGCCATTTGTTGTTTAAAAACCTATATAGATTTTTTTTAAGAACTGTTATTTATGTTTTCCTTTTTATTTATTAATGAGGACAAAACTAAAGATTTCAGAGATCCTCGGCTGTGCTTTTTAGATATGTCTTTCAAAACTATGACATCAACTACTGACGTACAAACTGAAACTGTAATGAAATCATTTGATGTGCACAATGCGTCAAATTTCAGTCTGAAGCTTGTACTTTCAGATCAAAAAGGTACAATGAAACTGTTTGAATGTTGTATATATTTCTTTCCTTCTCCCTGCATTGATTTTCATTAGTGCCTGTTCAGTGGGAGGATTTCTTTAGAATTATTAATTTATTTCTATTTAACGTTTCTGTTTAATGGTATTTAATTTTCTGTTTAACACAGTTTTCATCAAGTTCTTACTGTAAATGTAGTAATTTCTTCGTGCGAGGGGTGCTTGATTGTTTGAGCTCCTTCATTTTGTTTTTTACATCTTCTCTAACACCTTATTGATCATTTATATCAAGCAATTTCAGATTTTGTCCATTAACTGTAAATTACAAATCATGATCACTCAGTGACATTTAAAACGGTTTTAGCCAAAAACACATAACAGCACCATCAGTAGCTCTAGTCCCACACCCTGGTAGCAGTCGAGTAAATGTTACACTTTTCAAATGTAGAAGCACTCAAGTCATGTTAGGACTACAAAACCAAAACTATAGTGTGCTCTTGTCCTTGGTTTGTACTTCTATTTCAAGTGATAATAAGTGCATTATGAGTGTACTGTGTACAATTTCACAGCTTTCTTTTCTCGTATCATTTAATTCGGAAATCATTCTGCTGTGTTTCACGTTGTGTGGCTTGCCCTCTTGTGTTCAATCAGGGCTTCGTCAGTCACAACTCAACATTCATAGTCGCTAACAACTCTCCAAAGTGGCTGTATTTACGCTTGCAGGAGTCGAATGGCACGCTAGTAGTTTCACTCTGAAGGTCACTCAGGTTGTGATGTCAAGTTGTCTCTTCGAACTACCATGAACCCCAGTTGTTGTAAAGGTTGAGCCTGTCCACTGTGGACTGAATGTGAATAATGCAGCACTTGTAAATATTCTTCAATAAAAAAACATCTTGACTGTATTTGAAGAAACTATGTTCAGTTTTTTTTGGTGATTGGCATAATGCACACATTCATACAGATGTGCACGACTGGCTAAGATGCACCATGTATTTATGCATATGGAATATATAAGGTGGCGCAATGCCATGAGATGTTAATAAAAACTTCCATGTATTTATATTGACATGCACAGATTGACACAGGTCTGTGCATACACTATCATGCGTACATGCCTAATATTAGAAAAAATTATGTTTTAATAGAAGAAACAAAACTGTTCACGTGAATATTTGACCTATTACAATTGAGGGATTACCCTTATGATGCTAATTATGACTATTAGATCATATGTCATAACAATCTAAAAGATAATACCACTTTTCCATAACTTGCTGGTTATATGACTCCTTAATAATTTTATTGCCCAATTCTTGTGAAGTTAGCACTTATCACCTGTACTTTGGACCTATTAATAATGTATAAGTATACATGATCATGAACAGGTTTTCACCAAACTGACCATTCTGAGTGCAGCTGGCAGGTAAAGAGAGCAGCTTCTCAGCTTCTGTTCCATTCATTTCTTTGTTACTAATGTTTCTATGCACACATTAATTTTCATATTTCAACCATTTCTATTATAGAAAGGATTTGGCTATGGCAAAACTTGCAAAGACGTGCTGGTGAAATTGCTAATGCATTATTTGTATTGTTTTCCAGCTCTGTTTCTGAAGAATACTGGTTTGGACCAAGACCAAAATGACTAAATTAACACTTTTAGCAGGTATTTTTCACATATATTTAATTTAATTTTTAAATATATTTATCTACTATAAATTATATTTTAATATTTATGCATAACCATGTTGTCTTTTCTGTAGCACTGGGCATCTTGCTTACAGTGCAGATGGGTAAGTACCTTCAATAACTTTGCATTTCCCTAAATATATATGTCAAATATATAGTCTATATAATAAATGCACCAACATTCATAATAAATATTAAAAATATATATATGTGAATTTCTGATGTAGTGGCTTCTACAAAGCTGGTGTGCTACATGACCAACTGGTCCCAGTACAGACCCGGCTATGGAAAGTTCCTGCCAGAAGACATTGATCCGTTCCTCTGCACACATGTGGTTTATGCTCTGGCAACCATCGGCTATGATAATCAAATCACTACTATTGAATGGAATGACGATGTGCTCTACAAGTCACTGAATGGCCTGAAAAAAGTGTAAGTAAAAGCCGTATCTATAGCAATACAATCACCACAGTGTGATAAACCATGATTAGTTACACAATTTAAGTCAGACCTTTTTGGTAATGCACTTTTTTTACATTGATTGAAAAATTGGAATTTTCCTTATTACTTCATTTATTTTATTTATTTATTTATTTTATAGAAATCCTCTACTGAAGACCTTGCTGTCTGTTGGAGGAACGGTCAATGGTGTCAGTCCGTAAGTGAAACGCAGTATCTGTAAAAGTCATAAATATATGACATATGACTTTACACTATAAATGAAAAACATACACAAAATAATTTTTAATACCAATACTTTTTCAAATAAACTCTCATGTTAAAATCCCTCACTGCAAACGCATTAAACAGGATTTACTGAATCATCTAACTTGTGTACTGTATGTCTTTCTTTGCAATTTTGCAGATACATCAACATGGTGTCGACTCCAGAGAACCGCAAGACTTTCATCCGTTCTGCAATGCTGTTCCTGCGTCTCCATGAATTTGATGGTATAGATATTGACTGGCAGTACCCAGGTCACAATGGAAGCCCATCAGATGACAAGCAAAGGTTTACTACATTCGTGAAGGTGAGGGTTAAAATCAAGCATGTTTATTTCCATTAAAACATGACTTTGGGTCTGATTATGTTTCAATTATATGAAAATTATCTCTTAGGAACTGAGAAAAGCTGTTGAACAGGAGGCCATAGACACAAAGAAAACTCCTCTGATTATGTCCTGCAAAGTTTCCGGCATCAAGTCCACTATTGAGAATGCATATGAGGTTGCTGAAATTTCATTGTAAGTTTGCTGTATTTTAATCAAGCTGCAGTAACATGTGTGCCAATGAAAGTTTTTCACTTTCTCCTTCTTTCTGTCATTATAGTCAGTCAGATTTCTTGACTATTTTGTCTTTTGACTACCATGGACACTGGGACCCCGAGACAGGGCACAACAGCCCCCTTTTCCGCAGCTCCTTGGACACTGGAAACATCATTCACCACAATATCGTAAGATGCAAACCCTTAAATTCAAAATGCATTAATTCGAAGGGTCATTTGTAAGATCTTTTTGCACATTCTTGGCTCTCTTCTCCAGAACTCATCTGTGGATTTCTGGTTGAGCAATGGAGCCCACGCTGACAGGCTGCTTCTTGGCTTCCCCACATACGGACGCACATTCTTGCTCTCCACTTCACAAACAGGTCTCGGGGCCCCAGCCAGTGGCCCTGCTGATGCCGGCCCCTACACACGCGAAGCAGGCTTCTGGTCCTATTATGAGGTTTTAACACACTATTTTTTACATATGTTCTCAACTGGTTTTGCTCTAAAAACTAGGTCATACATTAGACATCAAAGCACGGAATTTGTATATTAAGGTATTGTGTAATATTTGATATATAGTATTTGATGTTTATGTACAAATTATAATTTACTACACATAATAGTACATTTCAAAACATCTATTCAAACTGCATTAAGTAAATCACTACTATGAAGGTTCAATGTTTATTATACAGTACAACAGTTAGTGCCTTTTTAATTACTACGCCACTAGGTGACGACAAATAACCATCTTTATGAGTGAATCATCGAATCATTCATTCAAACAATTCTTTTTAAAACACTGATTCGTTCTGGCACAAAACAAGTGAGTCACTGAATCATTCGCTCAACCGATTCATTCAGGAATACCATTACAGTTTGTTGGTCAGAGATTGCAGTTTGTTTTTTGGAACTACCTTCATTGGAATAACAAATGTAACAATATGATGAGTGTTTGGATTCCAAATGTGTCTTAAAAATTGTATGTTCTCAAAAGCCAGTTATTTACCACACAAAACACAACTTTGGGTGGTGAAATTTGATGATTGTTTTTGGTTCTCAGATTTGCCCCATGGAATCAAGCGTCAGTGTTGAATGGATCGATGAGCAGATGGTGCCCTATGCAGTTCAAGGAAGGGCTTGGGTCGGATTTGACAACCGTGAAAGTTTTACTGCTAAGGTAAAATCAACTGCTGGTTTCCAGAACGCAACAAGATGTTTGACGAGCTTCCGACA